GGTTTTATGAGCTCCCCTGGGCTCTCATCCATCTCTGTCACACACAGGCCCCATTATTGGGCCTGCAGATGGGAAGGGCCTACAGGACATATATAGTTTCTGCAGCCTGGACAAAGACCTTCAAGTCAAACCACAAAAATATGTGGTCATCTGGGTGTGGACAAGTCAATGTCTTCAGCATGTTTGTAAAAATCCAAGTGAACAGAGCATGAGAGTGTTCTTGTACATCTTGCTGTGGTGGGTGTGTGAGTTGGCTGGAAGATTAGGAAAGTACTTGAACCGGTTTGGTCACTGGGAACTTGAGGCAGTAGATTTGAATATGAAGGACATGATAATCCAAGGGCCATCTGGTCTGCTGGTCTCATCTGACTGCATAAATAACGGGCGTAATCTGAAAACACACACGGGGACGTTTGGAAAGCGGGCAAAGAAAGAGGCCAGAGTTTAGGAGTGAGCTAGAGAGCGGGAGAGCAGCAGCAGAATCACAGGCTGCTGATACTGAGATTTGATTTAAATGGCAATAAGAAGCCTGGCTCCACACACACAGACAGCCATGAATAATGAATCACCAGGCATCCACTGCAGGGAAGGCAGCGAGGCCAATAATGACGGCGTGTGTCATATTCCTTTTACCTTCCTGTTTCTGGCTGGAGTAGTCTTCACCTCCAGGGTAAATCATGACAGTTCAATAATGCCAAGCTATGTGTGGAATGTCAAGCTAATGCCTCAGCAAGATGTAACGCTTGTCTTCATGAAATCTGTAATAGCTATCATACTGTGATATATTTCATTAATACACACATAAACATATACTCGTTTTGATTGAAAATGCACAGCCAACATTCAAGACACACTATAAAACAGACTTTGAGAGGGTAAAGAGAACAACAGCATGTAAATGATGAAAATTAGCAGATGGCTTTCACATTTGGACAGAGGAGTTTAGAGCTGCAGTTATTAATCAATTAATCCATTAGATGATCAGCAGAAACTTATTTTGATTGGCATTTTTAACTCAGTACAACAAACGAAATGGATCATTTTGTTTTTTATATGTAATATGATCTTCCCCCACATTAGAATTCCACCCACTGTTTATCCTGTGACCACAGACACCTATTATACATTTGAAATAATAAAGTATTCATTTAGTGTATCCATTTTGGTCTCCATAATGCAGTAGTGTACATGTGTACAAAGTAATCTATGCATACATAAAAGTATATACACAATAAAACATTAGCTTTTTCTGGCATCTCAGAAGTGACAGTTTGATGTTTTTCTTGTTATGCATGATAGTAAATGCAATATTTTTGGTTTTTGCATTGTCAGTCAGACATCATTAACCAATTAATCAGTTAGTTGATCAACAGAAACTTAGTTTGACAGTTTTACTGAATAGAAATTGCCATACATTTGCTTTTTCTAGCATCTCAGATGTGTGGATTTGATGATTTTCTTGATATAAATAATAGTAAACTGAATATCATTGAATTTGGGCTGTTGTAAAAACATGATTAATCAATTAATCAAGATAGCTGGCAGATTAATTGATCTATTACTACTCTGTATGTTCCACACATAGGGGGCAGGGAAAACAATTCATGGAATAACTTATCTTTTTTAGCTGCCCTCTCTCCTGTTAATGTGCTCAGCACATAGCAGCCATGATCAATCAGACCTCAGCCGGTGCTGAAGTCAGCCTGAGGAACAGACATTCCACTTTCCCAGTGTTCCATGGGAGACTGTGCTGGTGAATAGCACATTCTGCTGCAATCCCAAACCCAACCCCCTCTTTCTTTCTTTTTCCTTTCTTTCTTTCTATCTCACTCTCTCCACACTACTGTCCACACACACACACACACACACACACCTCCTTCCCCTCACCCTCCCTTCCTCTGTCCAGCCAGCTACTGGGCCTTTGGAGCTCTGGCGTACGATGGGTGGGTGGATTGGTGGGTGGTTGCTGGGGGGTGCAGGGCGGAGAAAGCATGCATTCAGAGGAACATGCATGGAGAGATAACAATAGCTCCTCTGGGAGACCTGCAGATGCTGGCAGTACGGGGAATGATGGTGGTGGGATCTTAACACTAGTTCAACATAAGCTGGGTAACAGCAAAACAGCACATTTGACAACTGATCTGCTTTCACTCTCTGTGTTTCACTCTCTGTCTCACCTTTACCTTCCTCTCCCTCTTGTAGAAATTTGAGCCCCTTCTTCTACCATGCATGATGGTAACACTGAAAAAGATTACCTTTTCAAACAGAAGAAAGACCACTTCTTGTCACTTGCTGCTCAGAGAGGAGGGGATCAGACCCTGTGTCACACAAGATAGTGGGCAACTCACTTATGAAAAAGTTTCGTACCTTGATTAGGAAGCGGTGCAGCTCAGTTTTCTACCAAAGATATAATCACTCATGCACCACCAATATCTTATATATGGACATAATTGTAATAAGAGGATAATTAAGACACGGTTTCTCTGTGTGTTTCTTTTGTCAGGCCTTGTAAAGATGCACTGGAACCCAGAGCATGCCCAGCCTCTCAGCCAGTGGCCTGAGCAGCACCTGGACGTCTCCTCCACCACCTCCTCTCCAGCCCACAAGTCGGAGTTCTTCTCTGGTCGCAACCGCAGCTCCTATAATTACGCCTGGGCCAATGATGACATCTCTGCCCTGACAGCTTCCAACCTGTTGAAGCGCTATGCTGAGAAGTACGCTGGTGTGCTGGACTCACCGTATGAACGGCCACCTACTGTCGGCACCTATCCAGAGCCAGGGGCCTTTGGCAGCCTCAATGGCCAGAAGACTGAGCTGGAGCCCTGGCCGCTCACACATAGCACTGATGCTTCTTATTCCCTAGTGCCTCCTGTAGGCCATGACAGCCTTTCAGGTTCCAAGGCTGTAGCCACATCCGCAGGCCCTCCAGGGGTTAGCAGTGTGTCGGTGGTGAACAGTAACCTCTCAGACTCTGGCTACAGTGGCAGTAGCTCCTGCAGTGGCTCCAGTGAGTACCCATCTGGCTACAATGGCACCTATCTTTCCTCAGGGTACTGTCCCCAACCCAGTGCAGCACTTCCCCCTGCCTCCCTCCACACTCTCCAGTCCACTCCCTCTCTGGTGCCCAGCTATAGCCCTACCACACCTGTCTATAATTATCCACCTAGCACATACCCTCCCCAGACCAGCCTTGCCCCCAGCTATAGCCACCCCTCTGCAACTTACCTGCCCTCAGGTTTAGCAGCCCCTAATCCCATTCCCTCGAGGCCCACAGTGGTAGGAGGCAGCTATAATTACCAGAGCACAAATCTTGGGACATGTGAATCTGGAGGGACATTAAAACGAAAAGCATTTGAGATGAGTGTAGAAGAGGATGAGGGTGCAGACAGCTCTCGTTACAGGAAATATAGCTATGACCCCCTGAAGGCCGGGAGAAACTCACCCTACAGTGTGAATGACAAACCAGAGTGCCGGGGAAATGGCTTCAGCACTTCAGGCAGCACAGACTCTCAAACCTTCAAGTCCAGTAAGCCCACCTCCCAGCCCTTGGTGTCTCCTCAGTATGGGGCGGCAGGGGATTACAGCCCTCCAGCAGGCATGACAGGGGAGAATGGCGTGGCAGAGCAGGGCTTCACCCAGCAGCAGCAGCGCCGCTCCCAGGCCCACAAACACACCCCCTTGTGTGGTCCGCCTGTTGAGACTATGAAGAGCCCAGATCTTATCAGTGGGGAGTTATTGGACTGCAGACCAGCACTGGGCTGGGGCGAGCTGGCTGGGCTTACTCATGTCAAGGCTGCCATTGAGGAAGATCTGCTGTGGCCTGTGTTGAGGCCCAGTCAAGTGGTGCGGCCTCCAAGAACCGTCCTGCTGTTCGGCCCCCGGGGAGGGGGTAAGACGACATTGACTCGTTCTTTGGCTTCACAGCTGGGGGCTTCCTTCTACCGGCTGAGTGGAGCCATGCTGGCCTCTAAGGGAAAGGCTGAGGCAGAGCACATTCTGGGGTCTCTGTTGCAGGTGGCAGGGGCACAGCAGCCCTCAGTGGTGCTGCTCAGCCAGGTGGAGGCCATGGAAGAGGAGGGGCTGAGGCAGACACTGCTGACCACCTTGGAGAAAGTCCAGGTGGGGACCACAGGTCTGGTGATTTTTGTATGTGCCACTGGCAGGCCAGATCTACTGCAAGACGCAGTTCATCAGAGCTTTGCCAAGCGATATCATGTTGGCCTGCCAGATGTGGCTATGCGCAGGCAGGTGCTGCTGCAGGTGTTGTCCCCCCACAGCTGCAGCCTGAGTGAGAGGGAGCTGAGTGCTGTGTTGCAGCGCACTGAGGGCTTCTCAGTGTGGGAGCTGCTGCAGCTCGGACAGCAGGCGCTCTCCTCTGCCTCCTCCCCCGGTGGGGCCATTCATGGCCTCCCTGCATCTTCTAAACCCCCAGCCTTCACAGACTTTGAGAATGCCTTCTGCAAGGTGCGCCCACACACCATCACAAAGGAACTGGACACGTGTATAGAGTGGAGCAAGATGTACAGCCACTGAGAAAGCAGCCAGTCACTGTACTCGGACTGCACTACAAACCTGTCTTTGCTTTGACAGTGCAAATATTGGGAATGTTTTGTTGATTTGTAATTATAGATTATGCAGACAAACGGGCCAGAGAAGCTCAACAATATGGGAGAGCTAACAAAGTCGCTTTACTGGCAGAAGCATGCCATGGTGTGCTGTTCTTGTTTTGCTATGAATATTCTCAATATTTTATTTTTCCCAAAGAAAAGAACAATGAATAGGCCTTGTTGAGTGGGGGAGTGTATTAGTTGTTTGACCAATGGGAACATCAGAAAGCTATCTGGATACTCTCTGAGATCCTGATTAGCCTTGGTCCAGGAGAAAATCATTTATTTGTTGCGAGGTGACGTGGTCCATGATTATGGATAATCAGGGTTTGGAAAATGCCCCCTTTGACTGCTACTCTCAGGATCCTATTTATTGCCAGTCCAATTCCCTGTTACCCTAATGCTGATTTACTCATTGGATTGTCACTAATCATTCAGTACGAAGGGCTTGGGATCAGCAACATTTCAGCAAACCACAGTCTTCTGCCAAAAACACGTCAAACCAAATGCATAATCAGCTGTTAAATATCTTAAAAAAGACTGGTCCTCAGAAGCACATTGTATTAGTGTTCTTGATAGCTTGTTACCAAATTACGGCACAACAACTAGCCCTTACTGTTCTGAAAGAAAAATTAAATTTAATTACACATATTAACATGTGGTTGTTCTTCCCAGGAGTCCAGTTGTTTATGTAAAACCTTGCTTGACATGCTTGGTTGTAGAGATACTTTACATGTACCTTTATTTAACTCACTAATACTAAGATAGTCGCTTTTAAAATGGCACAGTTCACTTACAATTAAACTTAGTTTATTGTTTGTGGATGGTTGTCTTCCAGTTTTCCTGAGAATCCCATGTACAGAACAATATGGAACCCTCCTGCACACCCAGTTTCTCCTCCCGTGGGTCTGCTTTCTATTTCACTTACTCCTTTTGTTTTCTTAGTATGTAGTTTTGTTTGAAATGCTCAGGAAGAATTTCTTTACCTCAGAAATATAAAATAAAGAATGTATGTAATCTTAGGGTCTTAGTAGAGTGGTACGGAGTGAGAGAAAGAAGCAAGGAGAAACCTGACAGTCTTGTAATACCCACTGCAGCTGGGCTTTTACCTCGGGAGAGAAACTTGAATATTCTACAAAGATTAACATTGAATGTAATTCAGGTATTTCAAAGGATATTTGATGCCATAAATCCATGTATTATTATATATGAATATATAAATACATTTTAATTTCTGTTCTTTACCCCTTATTTTTATTGTAGTTTATGGTGGAGTGATGACTGTTTTCACGAAATGCTATGTAGAATACAGAAAATATCCCTTTTTTGCTGGACAAACTGCCTCCAAATCTCAGTTATGTGGTGTTTACATGATCTGTATATGCATGTCTGCTGTCTGTAGTTTTAGTTTGAAAATGCAAATATAACACACACAATCGAACGTGCACTCACAGTGAACATCTGACAGCAAGCTAACTTCCAAAAAGACAACAAACAAAAACACACATGGAAAATCGTTTCAGTAAGTCAGTGATTTCCAAAGTCTAAAAATTCTTAGTTGGTGTGTGCACACTGTGGCTGAACTCAACATCTAGACAATCCAGACAGATCCAACAGTTCTGTTTTAACAAGCTGGAAAAACACAGTCCCTGGGCTGTAGGTACGTAGGTCATCGCATTAGACTGTTGCTATGGTCCTGAAGAGGTCCACACGGATTGACGTAATATTTCCCAGCCTCCCTCTGTGTCTCCCTCCCTCATCTTTCTCTTTCTCTTTTTCTCTCTCCCCAGTGCAATCCCATTAGATTGGATTGCCCCCTGGCCACGAGCCCCAGTGGCCATGTGGCGCTGTATCCTTCTCCCACCCCCCGCCCTCCTTCCCATTCTCTTATACTGATTTCTCTGGACTGGAAGTGGTCTGATTGATGTCCAGCAACCCAATATCAGAGTGCAGCCTTCCCTCTCCAGCTGGTGGCTTCAGTCATCCCATACAGCCAGATCAATCAGAGCGACTCGCTGTCTCAGAAACCAAAACAATCCCTGCCTCGTCGTCTACACAGTGCTACCGATCATTCAGATGTAATTCCAAAAAATAAAATAACAAGGTGCAAATAGCTACCACATTTTGATTTATCATTGTTCCCACTACTCCTGACAGTTTGTCCAGCAAAACAACCTTTTATTTTTTACATTTTGATCTATTATTGCGGTACCTTTTTTTTCTTGGTTATTGTACATTTTCTGTAACCATTTCTACCTCATTTTTGCGGCATATTGTACATGAAAGTATTTATTTCATGTCTTTTTTGATGTCTGTTTTAAAAATGATAATAATGTTCTTGAACTGTAATGGTCTACCTCAAAAAAGACTGTATTTTAAGAGAAGAGTATCACACAAAATTAAACAAAATTTGTCAATATTGCACTACTGTGATTTCTTTCTTTTCTTCACATGACTACAGCTTACCGTACGTTCCAGTATCTGTAGCTTGACTTGACTCCAATGTTAAGGTCAGCACAGTTACTTAAAGTGGTTACTAAATAGTTTAACCCCTAAATACACAGACTTACATGGTGTGGTTTTGGATTTGCTCTAACATCAGCTTCGACTGACTTCACACAGCAGCCTGTGCAGTCGGTGGGCAAAGTCAGTATGAAACAAATTATACAGTTACATAATGGTTCACATGAAGACCTGCTGCTGTCAGTAGTGAAATGGCCCTTTTTTTGCAGTTACTGAGGCATGAGTGAGCATCTGTGAGTGGTGGAAGTTTACAGAGAAAGAAAGCTGTGAGTGTGTCTTAAACACAAACACAAAGAGAGAATACTGTACGTATGTGTGTGTGTGTGCACATAAGTTTGCCACTCTGCATGTTTGTCTGTTTTTCTGTGTGTGTGATGCAGTGTTCAGAACAGCAGCAGAAGCAGTGTGAGCACACCCCTGAGGCTTCAGGCCCAGCACCAGAGCACAGAGGTCCTTCATCCCTGTCACTGTCTGTAAACAACAGCTCGTCCCAGCGGCCGGCCCTGTGCTATTTCTGGCCTTTTCCTGACATCTTCCAAAGGTTCAGAACTAAGACGCAAGTAAGAGCAACTCTGTGCAAAGCAGTGAAAGTTTGGTCCAAGCCTGAAACAGAACCCAGTGCCTTCGAGCTATGGGTAGCAGTGTCAGTGAGGAGTTTGAAATACTTGTGACTGAATCCCAGTAGAATAACGTGTGGTGTTGATGACAGAGTAATTAATCGTCTAATAATGATGCATAGCTCTGCTGTGAGTACAACCTTGTGCAGCATCTGCCCTTCATCCAATGATGAAGAATAGTTTCCACAGCTGTTTGACAATGATATGCTACGTATTTTTTTTAGCATAATCCACAGAACAGCATAACCTTGTATAGGTAGAACAGACTGGGTGGAAATGTGACATTGGAATATTAGGAGAGACTTATGTCAGGCCTTAAACAAGTTTACACTACTGGTATTAAATGTTTTGACAGGTACAATATCTAGTATTGACAATATACTGTACCAGCCTTTTGTGCTGGCTTTACCTCCACACAGTGTGCAAGCCATGCTGTGAGGGGGTTTGTGCACATCCATTTTTTAAATATCCAATAGTAGCTGCTGCCTTCTATGTTCACAGATAGTCTGACGTTCTGTGAGTCACTTCCAGTAAATGACTGAAAACCAGTTTGTCCTTTTTGTCCTGAGTGATCCCTGTTCTCCAGGAAGTCAATCATTTTCTTCTCCCTGCTGATTGGAGGTAATTAGGCGAGCAGAGTTTGTAACTGGATAATAAAAGATGCTAATGAGCTGCTGTCCTATTTACTTACACTGTGTCAGTGAATAGCTTTGTCATACTTTCCTCACTGTGATACAGCTTTAATGAAAAGTAATATTGGAAGTACACATCACAGGATGCTGTATACATGAAGATATACATATATTGCCTTTGTATGCTAAGTATTATGATCAAATAGCAGTAATACATTTTATATAACTGACTGTCCAGCTTTTAGTCACTGAATTGTACTGATGGTTGCACTTAACACTATTTGTTTTATGCTGATGTCACTGATAAGTGTGCCGAGTTTAAGCAGCATGTGATTGCAGACAGTTTTCTCAGCATACACTCAGCTTTGGTGTCCATGCCATTCTTCATTGTGAGCTTCATTTAGAGGCGCTTTGACAAAAAAATATTTATGGAAACAACCTTCATAAAAAGGTCATTCCTTGAATCTCATTTCAAACAGACGCAGCCCTCCTGTCTACCTTTGCCGAGCTGCTGGCCCTCCATTGTCCAGGCCTTGATACTGACAAGGCTGACATCAGAGGAGAGCTCTGACACTGGGTGAGTTAGGACTGCCAGCTGTTAGCAATCACCTGGTCCCATAGATAGCCTGTACAGCAATATTGGTTCCAGATGTTGCAAGCCTTCAGTATGGACTCTTTACCTAAGAGGACCCCAAAAATGACCTGCACAGAGGGCTGTAATGCAGGAAACAACAAAAACACAAAGCAAAAGAATGTGTTTCACTGCCAAAACTGCGACCAACAAACAGCTAAAAAGAAGATGGATTCACGTCAACTTGTATTTCTTTAACTGAAAGGTTTTACACATCTCAAACTCTTGTCCTTGTTAGACAGTGATAGAGAAAGCACTACCACTGCTGACTGCTTTTAGAGAACAAGATCAATGCCGTTTTACACCAGATATTGGTTCACTCCTTCCTGAAAGGTGCAGCTGTCAACACAAATATTGGCCTGACTGCTAAAGAGTCTGGGGACTGAGTCCATCGGGCATTTGACAGTTTTGAACAGGGTAGCAAGACCAAATGAGAGAATATGGAGAAAATGAATCATGATCATTAGATGAGATTTGCAACTTCAAGCCAGACAAATAAGGAAATCTAAACTCTATGGCTCAAGTGAAGAATGCACAGTGGAAAGTCATCAGGTTCTTTGAAAGGAAATGTTTGAATCTTTGCAGCTGCATTGTTTCAGTGTTACAGAGGTCAGTCAAAACTCTAAGGAAATTGGATTTGACATGTGGAATGTCCCAGTAAAAATGTCTTGGCCTGCCCCCTCTCACACGACTAACATGTAATCACTGAATAAATAAATGATAATCAGCTATGTAGGTGGATAAACATGTTGCTGTTGGAGAACAATTAAAACAAGAGCACTCAGAGAGCACATGTACCTCCTCTTAGGTACAACATTCACTGACACAAGTCGGTCCTTTGTGTAAAATGAGATCCAGAATAACACAAAATGTGTCCTAAAATCCTTGATACAGATTGGATCTGGATTGTCTTTAAGTGTATGATAGACAGTTATAGTGTGCATCTTATGTGAACATTTCATGGTTCTATCTTCACAGTGTGCATCTTATGTGAACATTTCATGATTCTATCTTCACTATAGGCCAAGTTATGGAAGAAAATATGTGTTAAATGGGGTTTTCAATGTTAAATTTAAATGGCAATCAGATCTGGAATCTGGATCAGATCTGCATGAAATTTGGTCTGGTGATAGACATTGCCACCCTACATATGTGTGTTAAATTTCAAATGATTTTGATAACCTTTGACGGGTATATGAATTTTATATTTTGGCCCCATGTTAAAGGTTTTGATTTTTAGTGACCTTGACCCTTGACCTTTTTCAGCCAAAATCTAATAAGGTTGGTCCCTACCAATGTATGTACCAAATGATTCTCCAGCCATTTGTTCGTAATCCTGATAACCAACAAACACATGAAACCAAAAACGTCTTGGCAGAGGTGACTAAGGTGTCACTGTGAGAACACCAGAGGAATCCGATATTGACAGACAAGGATCAAAGAGCTGAAATTTTTTCTATATTAGAGCACTTCATCTTGTGTAGGCTGCAGATGATCATGTGCGAGCTTGATGATGGCACATATTTTTAAACAGACCCCTGAACATACTGAAAATAGGCGGGGTTTATTCAGGTCTATAGCTCCATCATGTGGCCAATCCAAGAAAGTGTAAAACTAGATGAATGACCTGATTGTGCCACCAATGCACTCAGATCCTGACAGACAATACTACATATATAAAACACAACACATACCGTACGTACACAGCCATAAGATAGCTACAAACACAACAATCGTAAACTTCAAAACCTTAAACAACAAAGCAACAGCTGAACTGTGACATGTTAAACACATTAACGACCCCTGGTGGCGGTAATTGGTCATAGGTTACAACTATTTCTGTTAAATGTGAAAAAGAAATATATGACACATATGACAATATAAAATTTGACATTTATACAAACAATATTAATATAAGGAATAACCTGCATGATTATTATTATGTTAACATGTGCCAAATGTACTTGTACAAAAGAACTATAGAAACAGACAGAAAGAGTCATTCTGTGAAAACTGTACAGGTTGGGCCTCGGAATGTTAGGCCAAAAAATAAAATTATAACCAAACATAACATTTTTTATTTTATAGCATAAAAATATGATAGACCAGCAAAGAGGAAAATTCAAAGTAATATGGCTAAAACTCTCTGTGGTCGAAGTTAACATCCAAACTTGTCCTTTTTGAAAATGTCATTAAAAAAATCCTCGTGTTTTTGAGTGACAGGGTGGAAATGTTATGTTTGACAGAGAGGTTTTTGAAAGAGAATTTTACCAAAAATGTTGTAAAAGAAAATCCAGTCTCTCCAGCGTTTTGAGTTTGTCTTCTTCAAACCCTTAATCGATGCCATTTTCTCTTAGTGACAGTATTTAAATGCAGAAATACACTGGGGTGACGGGGTGGAGCCTGAAACCTAAGTTTATTAACACATTCCCATAAAAAGGGAAGCGTTTATATCACTAAAAACAACAACGTCAGAGATTTATGCAATATTCATAGATGAGAAAATGACTATAGTTTAACAAAAAACTGTAAAAAAAAAAAAAAAAATCAAACTTGTAATTTTATGATTTAATTTCATTTGTGTGTCCGTACAAATTCTCAGTGACTACAGATGCTTTCTTCTATGTTTTTTCAGCATTTTGTGCTAATATACCAGCAGTAGCCAAGTATGTCTAAAGTGTACTGAGGCTACTTGAGCAGCTGTGGGCTTTAGTTTCGCTTCGCCACCGGAGCATCACGGCGGTACTGGAGATGTGCGGTGCGCTCGGCTGTTACAGGTTATGAAGCGAACGGGAGGCACTGCTACACCGACCAGCAGGTAAAAAATACTAACTCCTGTAACCCAATTTAACAGGCCAGGAAAAAAAAACACTTCACACAATAAAGTCCCAAAGAGTAATACCAAAACGCCAACTGCTGTAGTAACAACTCCTGTAGTTGAGCTGTGAGGGCCTTTCCGTCCGTGAGTACCGTTGGGAAGATGTCCGAGTTGAAGGCACTGCCATCTGCAGATATGATATCATCATCAGAGGACTTACTGGAAGTTGCAGTATCTGGTGAAATGACTCAACATTACTCCGCCTACTTTCCGTTCTATGGAAGTTTACCAAGCCCAGGAGACTGGGTTGTACTTTGTTTTAATGACATGTATTGTTATGGTTATTGCTTCATCACTCGGATAATAAAAGCTGCATAGTGCACGTAGTCATTTAAAGCCAGTGTACTCCATGTACTAATGTAAGCCCCGAACCAGACAAACCACACATTTGGACAAAAAGCGCACGCGGTTGCTTATTCTTCTGTACAAGAACTTCCCAGCGAAGTTTCCATATATGCTCATATGACCACACAGGGCTGGCTTAACATCTGACTGGACTATACTCATTGTCTTGGTCATGTGTGGACTGGAACGTGAGAGCAGGAAATAAAGCGCGCTCCCTCGTTTGGTGGCACTGTGTGCGTAAGAGGGAAGTGAACCTAACCTACTTTCTACTTTCTACTTTTTCAAAACGCTGTATGTGTGAAATGCTCGGCGCTCGGAGGTAGTTTCCCATTGGTTGTAAAGACAGGGTTTGTTGGTTATTTTAAGAAACACAATCGGCGTCAAACAGAGTAAAGGGAAATGTTGAGCAGGATAATCGGACAGGCGCAGTTCTTATGAGACACGGGAGGAGGAAGAGGCCACGAACAGTAGCGTCTTTCAATGTTTTGACATTTTGATGTAACTGAAGGTAAGAATAAACAGTTTGTTTTAGTTGCACAGATATTTCTCTGCTAAATAATGGGGCCTTCAGCTGACGAGGCCTTGCCAGTTGTGAGAACGGGTTTGTTTGCGTCTCTGCCATGTTTTGATTACCAAAAAAAAAAAAGACAGGCTGTTGCAGAATGTGTGTCGACCTGAAATACAGCCTTATGTCATCCTACAGCTATGCAAACCGTTAAAGTGATCGAGTCTGGGTTTTTCTCTGTCACGGGAAAGAAGAATAAGCTCCAGTTGTCTTATTTTAAAGCCATTGTCTTGTATGGCATTGCACAAACGAGGGAGGGAGTTGTAGGCCTATACTGATAAAGGCAGCAGGAACTGTCTTTAAGTCTCTCCATTCTTGCTCTTTGCCCCAGTAAACACATTTGTCATCTAGGCTACTGCACTGAAACCCTGTACATTAAGGCTGTTTGTGTGGCATAAAGCCTAGCATCGATGGAACTGATTCCATTTAAATATTATCAACTGTTTACAGTTCATGTCAGGTCCGTGTATGTCATAGAATTAGCTCTCCGCAGTGAAGTTTAAGCACTGAAGATCCCACATTGTCATCTAATACCTATGCTAATAACATGATTTGTGTTGCTGTAGTGAACCGCCAATGTGACTTAATGTGGATATTATGCGTCCTGTGTACACATGTAAGGTGTTTATGCTGTTAACACGTGATGGAGGGCAGAGCAGCCATGATGTGTCCTGAGACAAGATGGACAAGATGTGCAGTGAAAATGTCTCCTGTTAGAAATACTTGAACTGTGCCAAGTGCTTCCTGTACACACGATTAACACCCTCAGCCTGCTCATCCGGCTTGTGGTCCTAGAAAGAGCCATTCTGATTTCTCACCATTAACTGTGTTGTGCCTCCCACACTGAAAAAGAAATGGGAAGTCTCTCGCTTTCTGTTTGACATCCTCTCACATCAGACTGTTTGAAGCTACAAGTCAGATTTCTGAGTGCAGTGAACAACTTAGTCATCAGTATATTCATTCAAATCTAGAATATATAAGAAAGCAAAGACCTACAGTATATTGATAAATCTGTCCTCAGTTTATTTACATTTGTCATTCTGTATATTATTGTTAGTTACCTCTGTCTAAATTGCCTATGACATCTATTGCACATCCCTCTTCTTTTGTTCTCCTTAGGCTTCTACTTTCTTTTTCCACTTTTATTTGGAGGCATTTCCCTAAAAACCCAAGGGTCAGTGGGTGCTGTACAGATTTGTAAAGTCTTTTGAGGATAATTTGTGATTTTGGCCAATAAACATGAGGCTGACCTGACACGAGTTGTGTACATAGATATTTAGTCCATTATCTTGGACAAACTGTGCTTTTTGTTGGGTAGTGGAGCAAATTACAGTGTGTGAAAACCCCAATTTCTTTTTACAACCAGGTTTTAAAGGCATGGCTGCGTTCACTTCCAAGGTTTTAAAATGTACTGTTGGCTGTAGAAGTGTTGAAAGGCTGCCAGGTAAAAATACAACTGGTTTTGTGCTGGTTGTTAATTCTTTTCATGCGCCTTGGTAATATTAGAACTTAATAGTGTGCTTCTGAGTGGTGTTCACTAGGAAGTTGAGGTCTGTAAGATGCCAGTGGTATTGATTGGTTTACTCACTGGTTGGGAGAACAGCATTTGTGTAGCCACCACTAAATTATCAGAGCAAATGATGTTGTCTTTTGCAGAGTTGGAGTGGTTGGCAGCTTGGGCCTAAATGGGTCGCTGTCAGAGCTGAAGTATCAAATGTTTATTCACACTGGGTATCAGCAAACATTGAAGCTAGCTATGTTTATAAGAAATTAGCCTATATAAACATTGCCATCAGACAACTCAAGCACTCATAAAAATGTTTCCAAAATAGCTACCTAATTATTCAAAACAGTCTAAAAAGTAACATACTGTACTACATTTCTTCAATATGACACAAGGTATAGCCAGTTGCTCAGTGTTGCTTAAAGAACCCATGTTGTGCTTTTTCTTGCTTTCTGACTTATCTACAATGTTGCAATAGTGAATTATCATCTTAGACATGGCCTAAAGCATAAGAAATTAGGTGTATGCATGTTCTAGTATTTCTATACAGAAGCAACTTGGTTTATACATGTCTCGCAAACTCTCTCACAAAACTTTTTTCTAATAAGATTAAAGTCTTACATGATAGTTTAAGGATCTTCCTTGAATAGTCATTATCTCCAGGCAGTTGTGCGTTCATGTGAGCTTGCCTGACATCCACCGGTGCCATTTTAAAAGCTGAATTTTTCACCTGCATGTGGTTTTGTGGCTATATTTTTCCTCCTGCTGCTGCACTGTGACCAGAGGATGTGGGAAAAAAATACAGGGCCTGAAGTTACTGCATGTCCGGGAATGTTCATGTACAAGGACTCATTGTTTTACTTTACTGGATATAACCTACAAGCATCCGGCCTGTGAAGCCCCCTGGGGAGGTGAATGATCAGCTCATCAATGCTGGATTCCCCCGGAGCACATTTTGACTGCTTGAAGCCAGTGTGTCTGACGCATGTGGGTTAACGAGAGGGTTCTAACGGTCCATGATGTTATTGTTGCTACCTGTTGGAATTGATTTTACTATTTTGGGATTGTATGTGGTCGTGTGATGGAAGACGTAGCAATCACTGGTTGGATTTACCAACATTTGGGCTACTTGAAAGGGTCTATGAAAAACTGTAGTCAGCATGGGACATTTATTTAGCCATTTGTGGCATTTAGTAATTGCTCATGTCTGTCCTTTTTCTTGAATAGCTATCAAACTAATAATATCAGTGTGATTCCAAATGCCAGGGGTAGGGTTTCATGGTCAAGGAATCATTTTGTGATGGTTAGTCTATGAGAATGATGTGTTTAGGTATAATGGCTTTATGGGGAAACCGAGCTGCCTTGGCGGAAGTTTGCACTTTCCGAGTCTACAGTATATTAGCTTGCTCCAGCTTGAAGCAACAGTTTCTGTTCAAATTTCAGCCTGACATATTTATTGTTGGAAACTTTGGGTTCTCAGTGTTTGGCTACACAGCATGACCTTGTACAGACTGTCCCAGTGGGACAGTGGCTAAATTTATATTTGAGACCTTTTCAAACATTTAAGGGAGGGAGGAGGATTGCATGCTGGAAAGTTGTAAAGTAGAGAGATGATTATTGCACTGCTGTTTTTGATCTTTTGATGGGGTTTGTTGATGATAATAAGAACAGTATTACCTCTGGCTTCTTCTTTATTTGTTGTCTGATCAAAAGGGTGTCCTGTTATGTTCCACTGTGTTTGAAAAGCTGTAGTAAAATTGCATACTGCTCTTTCACTCTTGACTATTGTAGCCCTGCTTGATCATGGCCCAGTGGGTGCACATGTCCCAGCTGATTCCATCTCTGTCTGATGAGACTATCAACAACCTCTATCCCCCATCTGCCTTCCCCATTGAAGTCAGACATTTTTTAGCAGAATGGATTGAGAGCCAAAGATGGTATGACACACACACACACACACACACACGCGCGCACACGCACGTACATGTCTGCCAAAGTTTGAGGTCTTACCCAATATTTGGTGTGCTTGCTCATATGCATGTGTGTATGTTTATGCACATACTGAATATGCATGAGCATGTATGTGTGTGTGCTCACAGGGATGACTTTGTGCTGGAAAAGGTGGAGCAGGAGAGCCAGGCTCAGGCTCTTTTGGAGCAGACCATCAGCATGCTGCAGTCGATCGCTCAGCATAACGCCAATGTGGTGGACAGGATGAAGTTGTTGCAGATCAGCAGGTACAGAGACTGTGTCACTCAGAATAGGATTTAGGTTGCTCCCTGGATGGAGTTGTCATATGTAGGAAAATATTCTCATGATACATTTGTGGAGTTTATCTCCTCTACATACATGTTGATGACTGCAAAATATCAAAGGAAAAAGGTCTTTTTGTGCTATCTTGTATATGACATCAACTGAATAAACTCCTGCATACCAGTAGCTCTGTGATAGAAAGGTTTGTGATAAGACACATGCTTGCTTTACAGACTATGTTTCAGCAGCAGCCTCTTCAGTTTGGAGTGATGGTCAGGGACATCCTCAGGAAGGAGAGGGTCCTGTTTAGCACGGTAAGGTCCTGCCTAACAAACACCGTCTGTGTTGACTTTAGCTACAGCCCTCTTCCTAACTAGCAGTAGAGCTGTGATAATTTTGTAGGGCCTGATGAGTGTATACTACAGACGACAAATTGCACTGTGAAACTACAAGTATATACCCCCAAGACAAAAGGCATCACTACATTGCTTGTACCGACAGACTATAAATCGTAACCCTAACCCCTGATGTAGGCTAGATCATTACTTGTGCCGAGTTACATTCTTTTTATGTTACTTATGCTCCTCACCAACTGTCTAAAACAGTTTTAACCCCATCATTGTTTGCGGCCTGATGCACTGTTCCTTGTCTGTAGCCCACTCAGTACTCGAGCAGAGGGTCTTCAATCCCAAACATGCAGGACGTAGACCACCTGGTTCTGAAGGTGCTGGAGGTCCAGGAGATCCGAAAAAAGATGCACCAGCTGCAAGAAGAGCTCAACTGGGAGAGGCAGAATTGTGAGGTTTTACAAGGTGAGAGACAGCCAAGCACACAGAAACACAAGGTAGACACAGCATTTTTCTTCTGCAATGGTCTGGTTGTGTTCACATACCTAAAATATTCTGAAGAGTTGCACCGCAGCATTAGTGTATCCAAGGTCAAGAGAGTAAATGTCTTCCTGTCTGTTTCAGTGTGACACACAGTATATGAACTATTTTCTTATATTTTTTAAAACTGTGCAAATATTGTTCTCTGTGTGTGTGTGTGTGCGTGTGTTAGATGTACGGTCAAGATTACTGTAGTTGGCTCATTTATGTGGTGCGTTTTCATGTTGTTATAGAAAACAGTTGTACTGTTTGTCCTTTCCCTTGTTTCTTGTCGTGATCTGTTCCCTGAAGTAAAATAAAAGCATCCTGTCATAAATGTCTCTTTTAGTTTTTGACAGAGTGGGTAGTTTGGCTTTCCTGTCAGAACAGTGTTAGAGTTGTTGTCCTGAATTTCTAAGTCTGTTTGATACTGATTAGTTGTTTTGTCATCCACATGTAGCAGAGAAACCCCATTTTATATTTTTAAGAACATGTAGTGGTACACAATGAATTCAGCATGTTTTTTTTTTTTTTTTTTTGTTTTTTATAACACGGCCAATCCAAACAAATCTACTGGACCCCACGACATCAGAGAACCAGAAACTCCAGAACCACATCCAGAACCTGGAGTACAATGTGAAAGCAATGGCCACAGTGAGTCTGACAAAGGCTTTTGCTGCCAGTGCCAATATTACTCCCAGCTTAATAGAAATGAGTACATTATCAAAGCACTGTACACAAACAGCAGCTGATTTTGACAAGTCCAAAGCTGCATTTCTCATGTTAATTATCACACTTACTCAGAATTGTCTCTTGGCTATTTTATGGATTGATACTGATTATTATGGGATTAAACTAATCCCAAACTAGTACTGAAACAAATAGTCAGTTAACTGAATGCTTTAAATAGCTGATTCATTTTTCCCAGTAAATAGTGGCAAATGGCAAATATGTGTAAATGAGAATTTGCTTTTACATACAGTTGATCATTTTCTTTGTCTGTCATCATCTGGGATGATAAAATTAATCTCTTTAAAATGAAGAGATGGTAGACAAAACATTTTGTGCTAAGATTTCCAGTTTTAAAGATTTTGTTGTGTGGTTGAAAGTTAATTTCAAACAACTTGTAATTCCATGAAAGTTAAATGAAGCTGTTGGTGTAGTAGTACATGCTTTTATTGACATGTTTGCCCATTTGTGGTGTAATGCGTTTGGATGTTTGGTTGTTGTAGAAGCGTTTCCATCTGCTGAAGGAGTGTGTGGACTGTCTGGACCAGTGTCAGACTCGACTGATCAGCAGGCTGAAGGCGTGGAGGTGGGAGCAGTACAAGGCTACCATTGGACATCCCTTTGAAGATGACCTCAACCCCATGCAGACCTGGTGAAGCACAGCCCACTCCATTTGTTCTTGTTTGGACTGTGTTTATGCCGTGTTTTGTTGATCCTATTGTTGTAAAAACACACACACTTATTTAAACCTTACATCTAAGCAAGATGACCTTTAACACCTGTTAAAGCTGATCTTTATCTGCTGCGCTGTAGATTTGTTTTATTTTAATGGGCGTACAGCTTTCCAAAGGCTCAAACACTCAAATATTTTGTAGGCTTAGGTATTTGCTTTCTTTCTCAGTTCCTTTATACATTTTCTGTGTTAGGTGTGAGCAGCTGCTTGGGGTGAATGGGAAGCTGAGACAGGAATTGATGCTGATAGGAGAACAAATCCCAGATCTCCAGGAGAGGCTGGGGAAACTTCTGAAGGTTCTGATTCAAAGGTAGCACCGTCATATCATTTTTCTTTTCTGTATATTTATGTTGGAGAGCTGTGAACGAAAGTACATTCATTTCACTCAAACCTTGACTTCTTCACTGCTCATAAAGAAAAGAATGCAAAGATGACTTTTAAATGGCAAGTGTTTCTTCTTACTCGCTTTGCTTATGTCTGTTTCAGTTCTCTTGTAGTGGATAAGCAGCCCCCACAGGTTATTAAGACTCAGTCAAAGTTCTCCACTACTGTGCGATATCTTCTGGGTGAGAAGGTAGTTCCCGGGATGCCTGTGATGCTGAAGGCGCAAATCATTAATGAACTGCAGGCCCGAAACCTGGGCAGTGTACCCAGGTGAGTTGTACATCACAGCACAACATGGAGGACCGCACACTGCCAGTAAAGTTTCAGAGTTGACCTTATTGGTTTTGTAGCGCCTTTATAGAATAAGAGCATCAATATTTTGTGATCTGTCCTGTTAATTATTTTAGCTCATTAAAGGTATCTCAAAACAGTTAACTCAAAACCTATTCCAAAAATAATCATAATGTAAAATAACTAAATCTTGTGAAAGATATGCATTTGATTTGGTCAGTAAAATTCTTAATTTCACTATTAGCTCAGTGAATGTGATCATTCTAGCTTCACTGTCTTTTATAATTCTTTATACTGTATTTTCTTTTTGTAGTATATCGCTCATTGTGCAGTGATCTAAAAAGACTACTTTAAAAAAATAAAGGATCCTAGTTGGTTTTGGTTGTACAAAGGTGACATGCTGAAGTTGATTTTTAAATGAGGTTTTTGGTTTGGCTAGATTTGTATAAAGGAAGAACTGCCACTGTCTCTTATCTGATCTGCAGTGATCATGTTGGGGAACTGATCAACAACTCAGCCATCTTAGAACACAACACAGCCAGCAAGACCACGTGTGCCACCTTCAGAAATATGGTATGGACCGGTCTTGATTTACCAGCCTCAATCTAATTGTTGTTCAGTCTTGTTAAACAGTTTAGTCTTGTGTTTACCTCAACAGTCTATCAAAAGAATCAAGAGAGCAGACAGAAAGGGATCAGAGTCTGTGACGGAGGAGAAATTTGCTCTCCTGTTCTCTGCAGAGATCACCATCACCGGCTGTGACACTCCCTACAGGATACAGGTCTGGCCCATTCCGTTGTTAAGCCTACTCGTTAATGGTTTTTATATCCTGTTGCCAAAAGAAAGGTTTCTTCCACAGTGGTGCAAGAAATACTCATTGTTTACTTAAGTGAAAGTAGCATTACCACAGTGTAAAAATACTTTGTTACAGGTACAAGTTTTGAATTCAAAATGTTACTTAGGTAAAAGTATAAATGTACTTGCATCAAAATATACTTAAAGTGCAAAAAGTAAAAGTACTCATTATGCAGAATACCACATTTTACATTAATGTTTATCATATGGTTGGATTATAATTATTGACACATTTTTGTGTACATCTCATTTTATGATGTGGCTGATAAAGGTGGAGCTTATTTTAACTACCTTACTGTACATGCATATAACTTGAGGTACTGCTGGGTATTTTGTGAATTTCCCACCAGAGATCAATAAATAAATGCTCAAGTAAAGTACAGATACCTCAAAATTGTACTTGAGTAAAATGGTTACTCTCCAACACTGTCCTTCGTCTATTACTTTTAGAGTGTGGATGCCTCAGCAAAGCTCGACAGGACGCGTCGGTACCCGAGGGTTCGGGGTGGGTTTAAACAGAAATTTAGCAATTATGTTTGGGTCATAGAGACTTCAGGCTAGACGGCTGGAGCACTCAAATGTCTGCTTTGTTTAATGAGAAGGGGAAAAACACTGTACAAACTCAACTGCACTGGGCTCTGGTCGGGTTTGGACGTTATATACTATAACCTTGTGGGGTCCGGGTCAGGTTCAGACGCCACACTCTTACTCTAATTACGCTGCTGTGACTACAGCTTTTTCACAGCAATTTTCTCATATCTCATTGATTATAGATGATCTCACTGCCTGTGGTTGTCATTGTCCACGGAAGTCAAGACAACAACGCTCTGGCCACCATCATATGGGACTGTGCTTTTTCAGAACCAGTAAGGGTCATATTATTCTTACAGTTTCATGTCCTGTTATCAATGATTCAGTTTGTCTCTTTGTACTGTGGTGAACGCAGCAACTCTACTTTAGTCAGCAAACTCGTGTGGGATAGATTATTATGTGGATGTAGAGTATCAAATCAAATTTTATTTGTATAGCGCCAAATCACAACAAAAGTCATCTCAGGACACTTTACAAAGTAAGGTCTAGACCTTACTGTTATCAATATTATTACATAGGGAAAACCCAACAAATCCCCCTTGAGCAAGCACTGGGCGACAGGGGGAGGAAAAGCTCCGTTTAACAGAAGAAACCGCCGACAAATCCCGGCTCTTGGTGGGCGGCCTTCTGCCTCGACCGGTTGGGGTGAGTGGATAGAGGGGAGACAAAAAGAGGAAA